GATCGTATCCATAGCACCACGATTCATCACCAGTAATCACCTTGGAAAAAAATTCAGGGTCCTCTTCGAGCTGATTTTGAAGCTCAAAACATGCCTGAAGTCGACGCTCCCTTTGCTCGTCTGTGAGAAGTCGCGGGACGAATTTGGCTGCAACCCTTCTCATGTGCAAATCTTCGGATAAAATTCTCTGAATTGAACTCCATGAAATTCCCGACATCTCACAGAGTTGATCAATGGTTCGGCGACGGTCTTCACGAACAAGGGCATTGATTTTGTCGAGGTTTTCATCAGTTCTTGACGTTGAGGGGCGTCCTGAACGAAATTGGTCTTCAATAGACATTTCTCCATTTTTAAAACGTGAAAACCAATCGTAAACTCTGATCCATCCCCATAAGCAGTCTTAAGCATTACGATAGTTTCCGCGGCCGATTTCCCCAACAGGAAACAAAATTTCACAGCCGCGCGTTGTTCTCGACAATCTGCCATTACGTTTTCGCCGAAATGTAAAAAGTTGTTTTACTAAAAAAAATCTCACAGGCGAACCGATGCACTCACAGCGACACAACTTCGCACACTGACGCAGGTGGCGTGACACTAACGGACATGTGGTCAAACAATAGGTTCCCCCACTCTCCCTCCCCACCACAGCGTAATTCCCGGAACTTATGGGTCCCCCCTCGTATACTTGCGTCTCACATGCGCGATCAGCTGTTCGCCGCCCCACATCCCCGCGCGCGTTTCGCGTCGTATCGCAAAACAAAAACTCGTCTGCGACGAGTTTCGACGGCGAAACATACATACTTACACATACCCAGCATTGTAATCACTCGCACACAGACACAAGATCCGCTTGTACACATTTGCGTACCGAGTTGACGCGATTTCGGCGAAACCACACACCAAATAATTTGTATCATACTCTACATGATTTTTTTTGCTAAATAAATAGTCTTTATTTTTTTTTGTATAAATAAAACTACCTCGTTGAGTCATTTCCTCTCCCCGCTATGAACCTCTTTCCGCGTTCTGACCACGTGAAAATCCAACGAACTATTTCGCGCGAAAGTCAGATTGTCACAAACTTATTGCGAAAAATATTACCTCAGCCACGTTCGAATCTTGGCTGAGGTGATATTTTTCGTAATAAATTTCTTACTTTCTTTCTGTCTCTTCTTATTTAGGCGGGGATTATTAGCGTTTCAGAATAATTGTGTTGAAACCAAAAGTTTTTCGGCTCTGAATCATATCTGAAAGAAAAATTAATTTAAGAATATACATATAATGTATTATGTAAAAACATTCAATTTTGACCGTTCTTGGCATTCTTTATCGTATTTGATGTATTCACACGGTCGTGCTTAAAATTCTTGAATGTTAAAAATTACTCTTAATATCGCTAAACGTTCATAATTAATAAATCATAAAAGCATAAAAATAAAAGGTGTCTCAAAATGACCTGACATTTTAATTTATTAATAAAACATATTATTTATTTGAAAAGTACACATGTTTTTAGTTTAATATAAAGTACAAACATGGAGGTTATATGTGGATACACAATATCCGATAAATGGCCGCCTCGACTCTGTTTGCAAACGTTCATTTTTTTGACAAAATTTTCAATGACATTTTGGCATAATTGCGGACTAATTTCATTAATGATACGTCTAATTTCTTCCTTCAACTCCGGAATGGTCTGTGGATCATTGGCATACACTTTTCCTTTCAGAAAACCCCAAAGAGAGAAGTCCAATGGCGTCAAATCGCACGATCTTGGTGGCCAATTCACATCGCCGCGGCGCGAAATAACACGACCATGAAACTTCGTCTGCAATAACTGCATTGTTTCGTCCGCAGTGTGGCAGGTTGCACCATCTTGTTGAAAGAATATGTCTTCCAAGTCTATGCCGTTCAATTCTTCCCATAAGAAGTTGGTTATCATGTCACGATAACGAACACCATTGACGGTAACCGCATTTCCCGCAGCATTCTCGAAGAAGTACGGCCCAATCACTCCTCCAACCCAAAATCCGCACCAAACAGTGACTCGTGGTGGATGCATGGGAAGCTGTTGGATCACTTGTGGATTTTCAGTCCCCCAAATTCGACAGTTTTGTTTATTCACGTACCCATTAAGTTGAAAATGCGCCTCATCGCTGAAGATGATTTTCTTCGAAAAATCACCATCGATTTGTTGATGCTCCAATATCCAATTGGCGAATGTACGGCGCTGCGCATGGTCTGCTGGTTGCAGTTCTTGTGTCAATTGAATCTTGTAAGCACGTAAATGCAGATCTTTCGTCAAAATTCGCTGCACAGAGGATCTTGAAATGTCCAATTGCTGAACACGATGGCAAATCGAGATGGAAGGACTTTCGTCAACACTCGAACTCACTGTGGCTATGTTTTCATTCGACCGACCAGTACGAGAACGGCCACTGCTTTTCGCGGTTAAAAGTGAGCCACTAACCTCAAATTTTTCTATTAAATTCACCACAGTATTGCGAGATGGTGCGTTATGATGACCAAAAGACGTGCGGACTTTTCGAACCGTTTCTGCAAAATGTTCACCATATTTGTAGAGGATTTTCACAATTTCTATGCGTTGCTCGATCGTGTAATTCTCCATGACTAAACCTCAATACTTCCTGATGCCAGTTGTTAAAGGTTAGTACGTTACGTTCGCTGCAAAAAAAAATGGCGCGCAATTTAAAATGTCAGATCATTTTGAGACACCCTTTACATAAAAGCACATAAATACTCGCTTCTTAGAATATGGAAAGATAATAATAATTCCTCATGTTATAGGAAGTAGTCTCATACGGAAATTTAAATAAGTTACTTTGCTGGACACAACTTTTAGTTGGAACTTCTACATACCGTCATAAAAACGGTTTGATATGAAACAAATTACATGTGGATACAATATAATACCATTTCCTATCTGTTCTCATAACTATATAATCAAAATTATGTAAACTATGTACTAAAATTTGTCAATATTATAAAAAATGTATCTGAATACAATGATATAATTAGTCTAGATTTATGTTCACGTTCTGATAAATATTTAAGTCTATCAAAGAATACAAAATTACAAGAATAAAAGAAGGAATAATACCTGATGTGCATTAAGTTTAATCCTTAAAATTGAAAATAATTAGAAAGTTCAAATGTGAAAAACAATTATTATTTAAAAGGTCTTATAACTAACAAATTCTGAGATGTACTGTTGTTACGTCCAAGTTCAGGAAAATGGATTTAAAGAGAGAAGAGAATAGACAGGATGGAGTGTGGAAGGACGGTCAGACTCTTGTCTCGCAGGTATCCGCACAGAAGCAAATACCGCGAGTCGAACGCTCCCTTTTTATTGCTCAGTTCGGAATATGGGTCAACGTCTCGTAAAGACGCTATGACGCCTGTTTCCTACGAGCGGTGCGATCGTCGGTCCGAATTTCGAGTCAGGGAAATCCCTTTAACTCGGAAATGGACCACGTGCGAGCTCTGAAAGAGCAAGGTTTAATGATTACGAGGTTTTATTAGGGGATTTCAAAAGTGAATGACGAGAGCGAGAAGAATAATTACTAGCATTATTTATGCTAATCGAAAGATAAGAATAACAAATGGTTATATAACAATAGGCGTATTTATTATAACTAATCTATACACATTTTAATCTATTACATAAATACCGCAACAGTCTATTCAGTAACGGGCATACGCTTTATGTACATCGAGTAGTCGGGAGAATCGGATGGGATTTGATTAATCTATTTCGTGGATGGAAACGGAGGAAGGAGGGAAAAGATTGTAAAAGAATTCCACTGGAACTAGGAATGGATTGGCGGAGTTCGGGAGGAATACAGGAGATTGAGTTTTGGCCGGTGATGGCATTCCGGATTTCCTCAGGATCGAAGTAATGAGGGCCGATTGTGTAGGCCCCCTGAGGGATAGATGCGGTAGTAGTCCGCGGGAATTGACTGATGAGTGACTCGAGAGTGTCATTCTCTAGGATTTGGAAATAAGATCTAGGTGGGGGCGGAGAAATTTCCTCTAAGAACTCCACGCTGTCCGTGGAGTTCGTCGGGGGCAGAATTCCTCTGGGGGAAATTGGGATAGGATCGACCGACGAATCGGGTGATAATGGGGGAGTATCTGGAAAGATTCTCTCCATCAGTGCGTCCGAAAACACGGGTGAAGGAGATCGAGGGGGAGGCGAAGGAGTTTGCGGGGGAGATAAAGGTGTTTGAGGGAGAGGTGAAGATGGTTGAGGGGAAGGTGAAGGTGGTTGAGGGGGAGGTATAACTTCTAACTGATTAGCCGGCGGAGCCGGTGGTGATGATGGTGATGGCAAATGGTCCTCGGCCGGACGACTCTGTTCTCGCGAACCCCCGAGGTATTTCCGGAACTCCTCGTCCAAGAGTCTCCGCGCTTCCCGGTTTCTAAGCCACTCCTTGTAGGGACGTTTTAGACGCGGCACTATAATTTAATATAAACTATAGCGGATAGTTCTTATTTATACATATATATATATATATGTGTGTGTGTGTGTGTGTGTGCGTGTGAATGTGTGTGTGTGTGTGGGTCAGAATGGGACTTACTGTTGTTCTGCGGATGTGGATAGATCCAACGGCTTTCTTTGGTCTCAGTACTCCACGAAGGATTCCCACTCGGATGCGGAGGCTCCGGTCGAGTCACTCTTATTCAAAGTTCAAAAGAGATGAAGTTCGATTGAGAACTACGTATAGCCGCGAATCGGCAGAGTTCCGTTTGGAAAAACTGACGACTGACAACTAACAACTGACAACTAAGTG